AGCAGATTTTTCCAATAAGACTTTTTTTGCAAAACGATAGCATTTCTTTCATTAAGGAAATTATTTATTTGAGAAAAATCATTTCTTCACAAAAAGAATCACTTTTTTCACATGCATTTAGTTTTTATGAAAAAATAATTTCTTTACAAAAAAAAAAAAATTGTGAAGAAATTTATTTTAACTTTAAGTTTTTAGACGAAGTATTACGCCTAATAGAGACACTCTTGGCATTTACTACATAGGGTCCAATAGAAAATATACAAATTTAAATATTTAATGGTATTCGATGAAGAATTCTTTTATCTAATATTTTATAAACGAGATACAAGAAATACAAAATAAAAATGGACAATAGTTTAGTATAAACCCAAAAGACATATTTCGTATACAGTAGTAGTAGTAATACCCCAAGATACCAAAAAAAGTGTAGGGTGAGACAAAAAGGAAACGATCATAAGAGTAAAAAAAGAAAAAAGTTTTGAGTGTTCTTTGGAAATTAGTTCGCTTGTTCCCTTGTTGATGCGTCTTCCGGATCTTCAGTGTTCAATCCTCCAGCAAACCGGTTTAAATTGACCACGTCATTCTTCCCATCCAACTCATCAATCGAGGTACTTTCATTACTTTTTCAACATTATTACATTGTTTTGCTTGCACCATTGTTGAGCACAAGCTCGTACATGCGCAGTTATACCTTGCGGTTGAAACTGCTTGTTACAATTTGGGCATGTGTATTTATTGTTGTAATCCTTCGCCAACACTTCAGTAACCTTCCGTGGTGCTTTGCCTTGATCAGATTTCTTCTCATCTGCTCTTCTCTTGTCTGCTTTATCTTTATAATCCTTTACAATTTGTTTCATTGTTGAATGAACAGGAGAGGCTTTCACCTTTCTAGTAATCAATTCACGCCATTTATCTCGGTCCTTTACATCTCTTCTCCAATTCTTGATTCCAAACATTTCAAGATCTTCTATTATTTTGCCTTCCCATCTCTTTCTGACTCCTACATTTGTTGGTCGTTTAGAGTCAGGTAAGTATGAATACATAATTTTCTTCACTAACGATGCTGCACCTTGATCATTGTCCATTCTATTTACATGTCCAAACCATCTTAATCGATTACGACACATTATGTCTTCAATTTTTGGTTGACCAGAGAGCTGTAAGATGGTTTGATTTGACACTCGATCTCCCAAGTTTAGACCTACTAAAGTTCTTATACATTTCATATAGAAAGTGTTGATTCTTCTTTCTTGAGCCAGCGTTAAAGACCACGCTTCACTTCCATAAAGCAGTACCGGCAAAACGCAGGCTCTAAAAATTCGTAATTTGGCTTCAATTGAGACTGTTTTTCTCCACCAAATGACATTTCTTAACATGTTGAAAGCTTTTGTGGCTTTCGCCAATCGAGCTTCCAACTCTTCATTCATTCGCTGATCTCGAGTAATTATGCATCCTAAGTAGGTAAATGAATTTGTACTTTCTACTTTCTGGTTTCTGATGACGATGTTAAGATCTGGATGCTGTACTTCACTGTTTTTCAGTATTTTTCCATCTGTAGCAAGTTCAAATTGCTGCAGAGACATAATGACCGTTTTCTTAACGTTCATAGTTAATCCATATTTTTGTGTAATTCTTTCAAATGCCAAGATAAACTTTTTCAGGTCTTCTAACGAATTGCACAAAGCCACAAGATCGTCAGCATACATCAATGAGAGCAAACGAAAGTATTCGAACTTTTCAGACTTTCCATGATAAAAGTCGTTGCTTCCATAGGCAAGTTGAACACCTTCTACTCCAGCTTCTTCCACTACGTTTCTTATGATAAAATCAAAAAAGATGTTGAATAAGATCGGTGATGGTATTCCACCTTGCATAACACCCGTCTGAATATCGAAACTTTCTGATAACTCGCCGTTAATTCTCACTTTTGCTTTGCTGTTCTTATGGATTAATTTCAATAAACCGACAATTTTTTCAGTCAAGCCGTAATGTCTACAGATTTTCCAGAGCAATTCCCTTTGGACTGAATCGTAGGCTTTCTGAATATCGATGAAACACATAAATACTGGCTTGTTGTACTCTCTGAATCTTTCCATTACAATCTTCAGAGTAAAAATTTGATCGATCGTTGACCTATTTGCACGAAAACCAGCTTGCTCTTCTAGCAATCGGACATTTACAGTTCGTTGAATACGGTTCAGCACGACACGAGAAAAGAGTTTGCTAGTAACTACGAGTAAGGAGATGCCACGATAGTTATCACAGACTTTTTTGTCTCCTTTCTTGAAAAGTCTAATCAAGATAGCAAGTAACCAATCTTCCACTGAAATTTCATGTTTCCATATATCAACAAACAGTTGATGAAGCCATTTCAACACAGGAGTACCACCAGCTTTCAATAGATCAACAGTAATTTCATCATTTCCTGGTGCTTTACCACTTTTCATCTGTGTTAGGGCTATCTGAACTTCTGCCATTGTTGGAAGTTTTTCCTGTCTAATTTGTTCAGCTGCAGATATTTTTGCTGGTTGAATTTCACTGATAACTTGTGGATCGATCACAGAGTTAACATTTAAAAGTTCATTGAAGAACTCTCTGAAACGTTCCAACCTATCTCTTGCATTACACAATAATTTTCCTTGTTTATTCAAGATTGGTATATCTTCTATGCGTTGTTTTCCACCCCGTAGTCGTCGAATCATGGCATACGCTGTTGCTAAATCATGTTGTTTAATTGCCAGTTCTATTTCCTCGCTCAAACCATCCCAATATTCAACTTGCCGCTGTTCCACTTTGACTTTGACAAACTTTCTCAGCGCCACATACTTGTCTTTGTATCTTTTCTCAGAAGAAGTTCCTCGATATTTCAACCACTTCAGATACGCATCACCTTTCTTTTCCGCCACCTCGATAATTTCTTCAGTTAGCCAATCTTTACGGCCTCTTTTGTTCTTGTTGTCTGGTTTGAAATGAGTTGTTGCTGCTTCTTTTATGGTGTTGACAAACCAGTTGTATGTCGAGTTGATGTCAGTGTTATCGTTCTTCATATTTTGCAAATTCTTCGCTAAATCAGTTTGAAATGCTAACACTTTGTGATCTTCTTTCAACTTTGATCGATCTACACGAAATTGTTGCTGTAAATTGAATTTCCTTCTGACTTTCAAATGAAGTCTTATTTTGGTTCTCATTAAATGATGATCAGTTGCAATCACACCCGCGGCTTTTCGATAAAATCTGACATCTTCCACACTGGACCTGAATTTTTGATTAACTAACGTATAGTCCAATGTGTGCCACCGTTTGCTGCCGGGATGCATCCAAGATTTCTGATGAATTAATTTGTGCTGAAAAAATGTATTTGAAATAACGAGGTTGTTGATCGAACAGAAATCGATTAATCTCTCGCCATTTGAATTCAACACATCCGTTGCAAATGGACCGACAGTTTGAGGTGAAGTACTATGTTCGGTGACACCGACACGAGCGTTGAAATCTCCCATTAAGATGGTCATATCTCTCAATGGTACAATATCTAAACTTCTTTGTAAGTCAGAGTAAAATTGGTCATTGATATCAGAGCTGGTTGTTGTGCTTGAATTGACAGGTGCATATACTACAATCACCGTGACATAAATTGGATTAAACTTCATTCTAATTTTGATAATTCTTTCACTAACTGCTTCCCATTCAGCTCCCGATTGTTGCCAAATTTGAGAAGCTTCCTTGTTCAAGATCACTGCAACACCATGAGCACTTCTTGTCTTGTTGATACTTGGCAGTCCAGAGTAGATAAGAGTATGTTCATTGATCTTCTTCACACCACTATCATATATTCCCGTTTCACACAATCCTGCCACCTTGATATTATATTTCGTTAATTGTTTCAATATCAGTTGTTGTTTAAAATAATGAAAGCAGGATCGCACGTTCCAACTCCCAAAGTAAACATTGTTTTGTGCGATCGCGCACCTTGATGTCTTTTCGTTAGCAAGAAGGGTTTAATGTCCGTTGGTAGATTGCTAGCCTAGAGAACAGACAGGTGGCTACCGGCAGCCCAGGGTCGCCTTCCACAGCTGTTCGAAAACAACTGTGGCTCCTGTGGAAATCCGAAGATTCCCCCGGCAGGCGTTCGTATACAGAACACTGCTTGTTGGATGGGGACACTGTGTCTAAAGTAAACTCGTACCAAGCACCTAAAAATCTGTGTCAAATATGGAAGAGTAACAAGATTTGAAAGACAGAAAAACGTTTCAATAAATCCAAAGTTTCACTGACAGATGTCAGAATATCAAATGCATCACTTAATCAGAAAATTTAGAAGTTAAGATCCAGCTTGTAAACGATGCAAAGCAAAGTGTAAAATAGAGTGTCAAACAATCATCGTAAGGTTCTTGGCTATTTTGGATCCTTGCTGTTAGAAACACTGATCAGATGTCGATTTCAAAGTATGTTAACTTTTTTTATTCTGTTTATCTTTTCACATCAACATACTGACACAAATATTGACTACAAAATCTATCAATTTTTAAAACACTGCAAAATAATATATTTAGTTTATGCAGATCTCTCAATTATGGTGAAATGTTTATGTTTCCAATTATCTTTTCTTATTCGTAGGTTAGTCTATTGATAACAAGAGTAATGCATTTAAAATAAAAACAAATTACAGTCTAGTGCGACATCTATAAATAATTTCTGTCTTTTTCAGAAAATCAATAATTGATAAAAATAAAATTTTAATTTTGATAAATAATAGAAAAATAAATTTTTATAATGCTTCATAAAAGTATGTTTCATCAGTGATTTCAATTCGTTTAGCAATTCTTTATTATTAATCGACATTTTTGTTTCTTCTCTCCTATCTGTCTATTCGTTTATTTATTTACTTGTTTATTGATGTAATCTTATGCCGTCAGAAATGGGGAATGAAAGAAAATATTTTCTTTTCATTTTTTTTTAGATTCAAACTTTTGTGTATTTGTATGTGAATTGCATAAAGAATGAGTTCGGAACGTTCAATTTCACCTGATCCATTACCCAGATCTCATTCTCATCCTAGTGTTATCCTTACGGATGGTAAGGATAGTAATAGTCGTACTGTTCGACAGTCATCATCAGCAGTACAAAAACGTCGACGAGACAGTTCAAAGTAAAAGAATAACAAGTTATCTTGTATTTTAATTTTCAAACCGATAAAAATTAATTTTCTGTTTTTTTTTTTTGAAGTCGTAGTCCTACACCAGTGTCACCTCGTTCACCTATATCACGATCACGTAGTCGTAGTTCTATTGAAGGTTCGAAATCACCTGGCAATCGTAAAGATACTAATCAACGTTCACCATCACCACCACGTCAATCAAGTTCATCATCTAAACGACGTCGTCATAAAGATGGTGGCGATTCTGGTCGACATATTTGTGAAATTTGCTCATGCGATGTTGAAGCAGCAAAACGTTTATTTGGTGTACTCGACAATTGCGATCATATTTTGTAATTTATTTTACAAAAAAAAAATAATTTGATAATATAAAATATTATTTTAGTTGTTATGAATGTATTGTTTCATGGAAACGTTCGAAATACAGCAATGCTGAATCAGAAAGGTACAAAAAATATTTATTGAAAACCAAAGAAAAAAAAAAAAATTTAATTGAAATTTTTTTTTTTTAGTTGTCCGGTGTGTAAAGTTCGTTCAGCATTTATAACACCGAGTAAACATTGGTATGATAATAAAGATGACAAGTATCGTATTGTTAAGAAGCATAAAAATCATTTGAAGTAAGTCTTTTTTTTTTGTTTTTCTGTTATAAAATGAATTATGAAGTTAGAGAAGGCGAGAAACAATTTAAAAGAAATGAAGAATTCAATTAGTCAACAGAAAAATATTCTTATCGAAATATTTATAAATAAAGATGACAGTGATCTTCAATCTCTCATTCTTCTAGACCTGTGTCTTTATTCGTCGTTCGAGTTCTTCCTCAGATTAAGTTAATTATTCTTAAACAGATTTATTTTAATTAATATTGATTATTATTTAAACGAGTATCATTTATTTAATCTGGCTTGTTAGAAATATTTATATCCAGTTATCTTTGGCAGATCAAACAAAACATTTTATATATACATATTTATTTTTTACTATTCAAAAGATTTTCAACTGTATGTATAGATGTGCTGTGATTTTTATCTTTACCAGTATAAGCTTATAAAAAAAAAAAACACGTTTGTATATTTTCAAATATCTTCTAATTCTCTTCTTCTTTTCAATTCAACAATTGATTATTTATTAATTTGTTTTTTTTGTTTTTCTTTTTTAAATTTAAAGGACACTTCCTTGTCGTTATTATCTTCGTCATGGTTTTTGTCGTTACTCGGATCGATGTTTTTATGATCATCATGAAGCTGCTAAACAATATCGACAACAACATCAACATTCAAAAGATCGTGATCGTGAAAGAGATCGAGATCGAGAACGTGATCGTGATCGTTATCATGGTTCACATAATGGTAGTCGTTCACATAATTATTCACCTTCACCACCATCGGCATCATCAAGTCGATATTCGTCATCTCGTTATCGTGAACGTGCTTATTAAATTTTTGTTTGTTTTGATTTTTCATGATTGTCATCGTACATTTTGGCTTGGAAAATTTAATCAACATGATAAAGAAAAAAAAAAAAAAAAGAACAATAAACAAGAAAATAAATTTGTCTTTGTATATGTCATTGATTCAAAAAAAAAAAAAATTTATGAAAGAAAAAAAATGCTTCTTTTTCGTTTTCTTCTTTTTTTTTCATTCTCTATGTGTTTTTTTTCTTCTTTTTTGTTTCTGTTAACAAAATGCCCATTAGAGATTTTCATTTTGCTGTTGTTGCTGTTTGTTCATCTTTTTTTTTTTTCATTTGTCTAATGTCTTTTCTCCCGATTATCATATATAAGTTCGAATCTCGTTGTTCGATGCACGTACATATTAACCAGAAAATCAAAAAAAAAGAAATACCAATTGTGTTGTTTGTTTGTCTTTAAGATAAATTATAAATATGATATCGAGCGATGCATCTAAATCATTTGCATCAGTAGTTGCTAGCGCTAAAGGAACATCAGGATCAGGTCTAACAGGTGATACAGGATTTAAAACAAGACAGAGACCTGATGCAATTAGAAATTCGAATATAGTTGCTGCTAAAGGTATCAAGCAATACAAGAAATTGTTTTTGAGATGAAAATTTAAATAAAATATTTTAGCGGTAGCTGATGCTGTACGGACAAGTTTAGGACCACGTGGAATGGATAAAATGATTCAAACAGGTAATGGTGAAGTAACAATAACTAATGATGGTGCAACTATTCTTAAACAAATGTCTGTCATTCATCCTGCTTCAAAAATGGTTCGTGGGAAATAGTTCATTGAAAAAAAAATGTCTTCATATTGTTCTTTTTGGATATACATTTGTTTTAGTTAGTTGAATTATCTAAAGCACAAGATATTGAAGCAGGTGATGGAACAACAACAGTTGTTGTCATTGCTGGTAGTTTACTTGATGCAGCTAGTCGTCTTGTAGCTAAAGGTATGGATATAATAAATAATTGAACATTGCAATAGTTTCTCATTTTGGTTAAAAATGAATGAAATTAGAATTTTTTAGTTGATATGAATAGAAATGTCTGTAAACATTGCGGACCTAACCGTACCTGAAAAAGCAGGTAGGGTTCGAAACATATTTCATACAGACTTGATTCTAGGCTATACTTTTTGTTCTGAACTGGAACATAGACTTTTTTGTAGACACGAACGCCTATGGTTACTTTGATTTTTAATCATACAAGATGTTTTACAAATAAATATGAAGATAACAATCATTATATTTTACGACTAAAATCGAGGTAACTATAAATGTCCGTATGGTTCCTAATTTTTACATGTGCTCAAAAATTACTCTAGACCAGCTTTATATTAAAATATGAAACATCGTCTCTAAAAGTCAAAGTAACCGTGGATCTTCATGAAGTGTCTAACATGGGTCAAATTTTTATGACTCAACGCGACCTGAGATCGGCTATTTTTTTTGTGACTCGATCTCAGTCAGACACTGATGTCTATGGGGAACGTAGGTTTCCATAGAATGTTTATGTCCGAAAAAAGACTATATTTCAGTTGAAAACAAAAAGTAGTCTAAAATTGATATCCGTATGGTGTTTGTTTCGAATTCTGTTCGTTTTTGCAGCTTTGGCGGTGTCTGTAGCTGTTACAGAAATCTGTAAGTAGTATTGTGTTGATAGAAAAAAAAAATGAAAAATTTGGAAATAAAAATGAAGATGATTGATTGTGAATAGAAAATAAATTATGAAATGTTATTTTCTAAGACAATGTTAGATGAGTTTTATAGATAAGTTGAATTTGTTTTCTTTTTTTTTTTTTATAAATGTAAAACATTTTGTCAATATTATTATGATTATGTATAATTTAGGTATTCATCCTACAACTATAGCTGAAGCATTTGAAAAAGCAGCAGAAAAATCAACGGAAATTTTGAAAGATATTAGTATATCTATACAACTTAGTGATAATAAATCTTTACAACAAAGTGCTTCGACTGCATTAAATTCAAAAGTAAATTAATAAAGAAAAGTTTTTTCAACATCATCAATTTACGACTAGGTCGTTTCACAACATACTCATCTTCTTGGTCCAATAGCTGTTGAAGCTGTACTTAGAGTAATTAATCCAACTGTTGATACCAATGTTGATCTACGTGATATTCGCATTGTTAAAAAACTTGGGTATAATATAAAATTGATTAAGTATATGAAAAAAAAAAAGAAGAAAGAAAATCTTCTATATTTTAGAGGTACTATCGAAGATACAGAATTAGTTGACGGTCTTATTCTTGATCAAAAAACTATTGGTTTTGGAGCACCAACTCGTATAGAAAAAGCTAAAATAGCTCTTATACAATTTTGTATATCACCTCCAAAAACTGATGTATAGAATTTATTTTTATTTTTAAATTTATTTATTATTTAAAATAATCTAGATGGAAAATACAGTTATAATTAGTGATCATACACAAATGGATCGTGCTATAAAAGAAGAACGTCAATATATATTAAATATAATAAAACAGATTAAAAAAATCAATTGCAATGTATTACTTATACAAAAATCTATATTACGTGATGCTATTAATGATTTAGCGATACATTACTTAGCAAAAATGAAAATTTTAATTGTTAAAGATGTTGAACGAGAAGATGTACCATTTATAGCTAAAGTAAATGAACATTTTTTTGTTTTGATCGTTGTATATTTTTTCCGTTTGATTTTAAAAAAAGGAAATTTTTATAAATTTAGACACTTGGTTGTAAACCAATTGCAAGTTTAGATCATTTTCAACAAGATATGTTGGGATCAGCAGATCTTGTTGAAGAAATTACAGCTGGTTCAGATAAAATTGTTAAGGTATAGTTTTTTAAATTCACAAGAAAGAAATGTAATATTGAATTTGTTCGTACAATAATATTAACTGTTTATTTGAACTAAAAAAGTTCTTTTTCATAGACAATTGAAAATTAATTTTGAAAAGCAAAAAAAATTAATCTCAAACGAATCTTTACTTTTTCAAATAAATAAAAATTCAATTCTTAAATTGTCAGACGTATATGATGATGAACGTGATTTGCTTTCAACAATCTTGTGCATCTAATAATACAATGACAATGAAGAAAAAAAAAAAAGAATGAAACAGTTTGTATTCAATCTATGTCTGTATTTTTGTAGAATGATTAAACACATATAGTGAATGGAGAAATATTTAAAAAAAATACTTTATTTTCAGTAGTTACTAAATTATTTATATTAAGCTATAAGCATCTCATTTATATCCAATACAATAATAAAAATCCTGTAGAAGACTTTAAAAAAGTCGATTTAAAATAAAACTCTTCAGATGGTCAAAATTAAAATTTTTGTTAATATTTTGTTTTTTTGATTTATTTTAATAGATTACTGGTGTTGCTCATCCAGGTCATACAGTATCAATTTTATTACGTGGTTCAAATAAATTAGTACTTGAAGAAGCTGATCGTTCAATTCATGATGCTCTTTGTGTTATACGATGTCTTGTAAAAGAACGGTTCGTAATAAAAAAAAGAAAAAAAGTCTTGTATTTTTTTTTCGTATTGTAATATATTTGTAGAGCATTGATTACTGGTGGAGCAGCACCTGAAATAGAATTATCTGTTCGTTTGTTTGAATACGCACAAAGTTTATCAGGTGTTGATCAATATTGTATACGTGCATTTGCTGAAGCACTTGAAGTTATTCCATATACATTGGCTGAGAATGCTGGTTTAAATCCTATTGCTACTGTAACTGAATTAAGAAATCGACATGCTCAAAATGATGTTAATACTGGTATCAGTGTTCGAAAAGTAATATTTGAATTTTTTCCTATATTTTAATGTTTTAATAAAATTTTTTAAATATAGGGTCTTATATCAAATATTCTTGAAGAAAATGTTGTTCAACCATTACTTGTATCGATGAGTGCTATTCGTTTAGCTACTGAAACAGTTCGTTCAATTTTAAAAATTGATGATATAGTAAGTGTTCATCTTCGTAATGTTTATTATTTGCTAAAGTTTTACTTAATTTAGATCGAAACTATGTAATTCAATCAAAATCAAAGAAGAATTCTTGCACATGTGAATGTATGATTATTCCTTAGGAAGCTTTTTTTTTGTCATTGTTTCATGATAACTTTTTTAAATATCTGTGCAAAGTGATAAAAGAATGTATAACTTTAATTTGAACAAGATTTTTCTTATTCTTATGAATAAAACTTTGCAACAGAAAGATATTTCTAATAATATAATTACAATCGGAAACAGAGCTGAAAATCAATTGTTCATCGATGCATATTTGATATGTTTCAGTGACATTGTAATATGTGGTCTTTTGAAGTACAAACATGTCTATATTCTTTATGCATCCTAATTATTCTGAATTTTTGTCACTGTGCCATACAAGCTTCTTTCATAAGACTTAATATATTCAACTTGGTTTTCTTAATAAAAAAAAGTCATCATTTTTTTCAGGGTTTACTGCGTATGTTTTTTGTCATTACATATTCCATATATAATGAGAATTTTTTTAAATAGATAGTAATTTCTGTTTTCATTAATGTAGCACGAGACCGAATAGAACCATCAGTCACTAATTCTTTGGACTGTTTAACGCTTCATATGTTTCTCGACATCCAATTTATATGGAGTAGTTAAGTAATAATTGCAGATCGATTTGATAATATATAGAATAATAAAGATAAAAAAATACTATTCTTAATTTCTCATTGTCGACAAGACTATTGAAATCATGAGATATCTTGCTACTTATTTTCGAAAGAAACGGCACTTTCATCTCGAATGGGTTTCATAGGATAAAGGATTTAGTTCTCCATTGATTCCTATAAAACAGAGTCTAGTTTTTATTTGTCATTTCATTGGTAGCCAATTGATTTACTAGCTAAAAACATCGGTTCTGCTCATTGACTTGTTCACAGTGAGAGAGAGATACATAGAGTAAAGTTGAAGATGGCTTCTTAAGAAATTCCATAGACATCTTTCCAAGACATGATTCCGTACCTTTTTGAATAGTGTTTTGGTACAGTTAAGTCTGAAAAACTAAAGATTATGCCATAATTAACGTGATATTTGAAATAAGCATAACCAAGTAGACTTATTAAAATTTCAAATATTTTTGCGATTTCTTTTCTGCATTGAAGAATTATTTCATAATTCTCCTTAGCATCAGCTCATACGAAAATATTATTGAAAAGTCATTTCTACATTGTGAAATGGTTTCTGATTTTCCAAGATAATAAAAAAAGAAACAATATGACAGATGTGTGAACAACAAATGCAGCATTTTGACTTTTTGAATCAATGCTCAAGAGGAGGATTAACGGCTAATTTTACGATGCTGAAGAAAAATCGCAGAAATATTTGAAACATATATAAGTAAACTAAGTTGTCAATGATGATTATGAATATCGCATTCTGCAGTTTTTCTGACTCAATTTCACCAAAATACCATCCAAAACAGCGGTGACTGATGTCTTCAACGTGGATGTACATGGAATTTACTTAAATAGTCAACACTTTTAAGTTTTCTAAACATACGACTTTGAGGGGATAAGTCAATGAGCAGAACTGGCTTATTAGCCAAACAAAACAGTGACCAACAACTGTTTAACAAACAAAAGACATCGATATCTTTTTTTTATAGATTTAGTCTGACAGAAATCGATGCAGATTTGAATGCTCTACCCTATGGAACTAATTCGAGATAAAGACGTTGTTGTTTTCGAAAGTAATTAGTAACAAACCTCATAATTTCGATGGCAATATCAATAATTAGAAATTGAAGACAGTATTTCGAATTCTTATTACTCTAGATATCATTAAGTCAATCTAAAATTACTGTCGAACTACTCGATATAACAACATGTATCGAAGAATGGACAGATATTTGATTTTATACATAAAATGAATGAAATAGAATTGATATTTCAAATAGTTTTCTTTTATTATTTAGTCTCAAACAATTTGTGTCACATAATAATAATATGATAACATACGAGTTTTGATTGAGAAATTATAATTCAATATTTATTAATAGACAAAAGACAGCCATACATCTTAAGCATACGAAATATATATTGATTGAATTTTGTACAACATAAAAAAAGGAAGAACAATAAAAATATTTCTATCTGTTTTTTAATGTCTAATCACCGCAATAGACACCACCGTCATCGATAATTCTGGTTGTAGAATGAGTAAAAGATACAGATAAATTAACCATTAACATTTTCTTTTTATCATTATTTGGACATTGAAGTAAAGTGCTTTTTGAAGATATCGTTGTATTATCATTATGCTGCATTTCATATTCGTTAATTCTTAGTGAAGATGATGAATCCGAAGGATGTTTATCATCATTACTACGATGTAAAAAAAACGAAAATGATCCATAATTTGAAGGTATTTCATCAATAGCTACACTATGTTTAAGATTTCTTATAGCTATTTCTTGACGAGTAGCACATCGGAGTGATGGTTGTCGATCTGATTGACGTTTATGAGAACGCTTTTCTGTATTTTCATCATGCAACGTATGTGCTACAAATATCTCACCAGGATGAAAACATTTAAGTAGAATTAAATATTCTTCCCGAAATGAGTCCGATAAAAAAACATATAAAACTGGATTAAGACAATTATTAGCATAACCAAAAATTGTTGTTAAATGTGTTAATTCTTTAAGATATCGCATATTTGAATTAGTTGGTAATATAGAAAAATTTAAACGTAATGAATGTATTAATGGATCAATTGTGATAAATATTTGTAAAAACCAATATGGCATCCAACAAATAAAATAAGCTGTTACAACAGCAAGTACAATTCGTGTTACTTTACGATGTGTTCGTTGTTTAATTCCAGATTTATGTTTTCGACGTATATTATTAAGACGTATAAGAATAAGTATATAAAATGTTGTTATCATAGATACAGGAATAAGAAATCCAAGTAAAAATCCATAATAAGTAAAAACTATTTCCGGAGGAATTCGAAATACAATCGATGGAAAATCAATAACACATCTAAAGAAAATGAAACACACAAAAAAAAAAAAGAAATTTTCTTTTAATTATTTGTTGGAAATGTTAATTAACATAAACTAATTCTGACTAAACGAATACATGAAATCATTAATTGAAAAACTTTTCTGTGGGTAACGCCACACGAATTTAACCTTAATTTAAATTTAATTGTGACTTTCAAAACAATAAACAATCAGTAATAAGTTGATATTTTCAATGTGATTTGAATTATATATTGTCATATGTTTCGAAAAGTCAATATGAAATTATTATTCTTTCCATCAAAGTCTCTATAATTTAATATTAGTTTTTATTTTTTTTATATAAACGATTATGTTAATAAGAAAAACATGACAGAATTTTTCCGATATTTTGTTTCTTTGACTTAAGTTCTTCTATATTATTAGATTACATGAGGAAGCAATGTCTTTTAAAATGGATAGTTTTGACATAGATAATCACAATTTCAATTTGCATTACGTTGTTTATTCATGATAAAGTCTTCAATCTAACTAATCTTTATCTCAGGTAATGACAAGATAAAAAGACTAAGGTTCGCACGTATAAAGTCTTCAATCAAAATTTTTATTTGTATTTCAAGTCTTTTTTTTGACACATAGAAGATTAACTTTATTTGACAAAAAAAAATTAAAAAGTTTTTTTTATAATTTAGTTGTGTCAAAGTGAAACTTGATATTACTTAATGATTATTGTGCATGCTAAAAAATATTCGAAAATATGAAGACAAGAGAGTCTTTAGAGATCAAATTGCGTGATTATAGTTAGAAATTAAGTTTCATCAACAATAGGAAACCATGCCCGATCTCATAATATGTGTACTATTAATACTTGAAAAAAAAAATATCATCTTATGCGACTTGAAATATTTGTTTTTTTGAATATTATAATCAATATTATGTTTAAAAGTTAGATAAATTATTTATAAGTCAGTCTCTATAAACAAATGAGTAAATGTTGTATATATATATTCATGATTCGTATCTAGAGAATATATTTTCATATGATTTACATTTAACATTCGGCTGAGTGCTATATGAGATTCACAATCATAGAACTAATATTTTTGTACTAACGTGCTATAAATATGTAAGATTATTATATGTAAACATCAAAGCACATAATTCTTATATGGTCTTATGTATATATGGAAAAGCTTTGTTTATAAGACTTTCATTCTCATATACACATATTAGAGTGTTAATATGTTTTTATATTGATACATTGAAATTAACAAAATACGAAAAATTTAACGCTTTTAAACTATTGTGTAATCGTTTGGAAACTTCTTAAATAGTTTTCTCTAACGCGTGATGTTCAAAACTTCCATTTTTGAGTAATGTAGACATGAGCACGTTCAGATAGATTGTAATAAGGCTAACTAACAAAAAAAATGAGATGATGACATTTGAAGACATGGAAGTACTTACAAAAAAAAAAAAGAATCTTCTAAATTAAATGAATTATTTTTCCTTTATATTTATCAATGACATCTACGAATATTATATTTTGTATTTTTTATTATTAGTACAGTGATGAACCTTGTTGAAGATCATGATATGTGAAGATATGAAGTCAAATTAATAGACTTCTTTCGTGACTACTATTGTATACACTGGTTTCTATCATTTCCAGAATTCTCATGAAGTAAAATCATTCATTCACATATCTGGGAAAGTCATGAGCATATTAACAATGACATAAAAAAGAACAACGAAATAACAAAAATAGCATTCATTATGCACTCGTATCTCATCAATTTATAGATTATCTGTCAGAATAATTTCAATTAAAGTCTGATATATTGATCGCTCTCTTCTGGGAGTCTATGGAAATATTTTGTAACTTATTTCTCATATGTGAATGTTATCTGCTTATAGATAATCCAGCAAAAACTTGCTAGCGTAGGAAGTTTTTGTTTTTTGAAGTTGACACTTTGATAACGGATTTTTATCGAGTTAAGCATTGAAAAGATGACTAGGTGGCATTTTTGTTTCTCTTTTTTGTTTTTGAAAATTATTCTTACATGAAAAATTCTGTCTGCTCGATTCGAGAGTGCTTATTCAACTTGAAGTATCACGTTTGATGGAAATGAATTAAAGTAGAGAAAAGTCCTTATTTAAATGCATTAATTTAAACTTATTCATTTATAGAGAACAAGTAGTAAAAGCACCATATGTAACAATAAGTATGACTACTAATTCACGTAGTTTGTTTTGGAAAAGAGTGAAGCAATTTTATATTTTCTTACTTTTGCACTCGGCACCCAAACCAAATTATGTATTGTTCAGATGTGACAGTTGCAAATACCCATGTTGGACATAGAAATAGAATGGATATAAGCCAACATGCTAAGCGAAAGAATATTGAAAAAAAAGCATGAAAATGATTTGTTATGTGTTCTACTACCCTACCAATTATAATAATTATACATTTTGTTTTTGTTCGAAATTCAATAGCTCGAACTGGATGACACACAGCTAAATATCGATCAAATGATAAAGCAGCCAATAAAAGTGAACCAACATATTGATTTATATGAATTAAATTGTAATACATTTTACATAAAATATTGCCAAATATCCATCCATTAGCAAGTATAGTAACAATAAGAAAAGGTACACTCAGAAGAAGAACAAAATCAGCAATAGCTATATTAAGTAAATAAGTATTAGTCACTGTTCGAAGACGAGATGAACGAAGGATACTAATAATAACAAGACCGTTACCAAATGTACCAAGAAAAAAGAGTATTGTATAAAATGGAACAAAATAATAAGTTAAATAATTATTTTGTTGTACAATAGTAGAAGCAACAGTTGTATTATTAGTTAACAAATGAACGTTGTCAAACATGTTTCATTTATTTAATCTACTTTGTATTGTATGTAATCACTTATGAACACTTAATTGAGAATAATATTCACAGAAGAAAAAAAGATTGCAGACTAAAAACGCGGATAGAAAGAAGATTTATTTTTTTCTTCGTATTTTATTCTTCTCCTCCAGTTTTTGTTCTGTCATTGTTAGAAACAAAATGCAAAACAAGAACAAGAATTCCAGAGGTTAGAGAAGAAAAAAAAACCAAAAGTCAACTGTTATTATTTTCATTGTTGAACATTTTGATATTCATTCCAAGTATGCTATAATTTACTCTCACTCTTTTTTTAACAAGAGTCTTTTCTTACTAATTCTCGTTTGAATAATTCATTATCTATCATTTTTTTTTCCTTTCTTGTTTGTTCTTGTATTCAATAACGAATAGTCGAGAGAAAAAACATGAATTGTGAACTTTCTATTTTGTGAGGAAGTGTAACTGCAAGAAGTATAATTATACGCTTCCTACTGTTCTCATGGAATATTTTTGAATAAAAAAAAAAATGCTAAAAGATAATGCAAGATCATTAGGTTACGATGGAATACTAATAATTTATTACTATTTTGCTTTCTCGGAAAATTTATCGAAATAACGAATCAAAGTTCATTAACCATGTCAAAAAGACATCATAGTTTCTTAACTTATTTTCAAAATTATCAAAAAAAAAACCAAAGTGTGAAAATTTTATCGATAGTTCTAAAATTTAGACTTTGACTATGTTTATAATAAGAATAGTGAGAATGCTGCATGCTCAATTAGTAAGAGGAAAATCTTTATATATGGTATGTTGTGCATATGTCAAATGCCTAATGATAACATGCATGTTCACTCTTGTTGTGACTATTATTATTGTTTGTAGACAATTTCAATACATGCAGTATTATAAAATAATCAATTTACATAAAACACTTTTTATCTCCGGATAAATAAAATTGAATTATACAGAGTTAAGCCTAAATCAGTGAGAACGAAAACATACTGTTTGACATTTAAAACATTTACATAAAATATTTTATAAGATTCTTATTATTTTTTTTTAATCTTTATTTTATATCTGTCGAATTAGTTTTATTTATATTAAAAACAAAAGCAAAAAAAAAAACTTGGAAAATATTTTTGTCAAAATAAAACAATTATTTTTTTAGATTAAAAATCTTGATGGTCGTGTATGTGTCTTTTTATTTGTTTGAAGATAAAGACGAACTATATGTGGATCATCATGGGAAAATTTAAATGTTGCACGACAATTTCGTTTAATCCAAAAAGCAGTACAAAACCGTGTAGAAATTGCTTGAATATTATTATTATTAGTATTATTTGTTAGTGTTCGATTAATGATAAATTGTGCACTAACATTTAACTTCTTAACAAAATGTAAATTATTCATTAATAATTGCTCAAGAGAATTAATAAATAAATTTTGATCAACATATGAAGTAAAAATAGACAAACGTTGAATATTAGGAAAATAAATTGATAAAAATTGTGTACATAATATATCGAATGATATACCCATTGAAAGACAAATAACACAAGTAACTGTTGGTATTGAAGAAAAATTTGTTATTTTTTGTTTATTAATACCAAAAAGTGATATATGAAGATATTTCAATTTTAATGTATATTGTATTAATTCAATAATATCATTTAATGATATATAATTTATTGTTAAATATTCAATATTACTAAAATTTTTATCAATATTTAATATTGATGGAAAAAAAGTTAATTTATGATGTAAATTTAATTGAACATTAATTAATGTTGAGTTTTCAAAAATAAGTTTAATATTTGAAGTAGGTAAGTCAATATTCTGAATACATAAACGTGAAAGATGCGAAGGTAGTTGAAGAAAATTATCAAAATTACATTTGATTAATGTCAATGAACGAAGATTAGTAAAGTCTTCAAGACATATTGGTGATGACGTAAGATGTAATGATAGAACACGATGTGGACAATAAATTATATCTTGATTTTCTGAGGATATATGTAATTGAGTATGAAATATAATTTCATCAATATGTTTATTTAAATTTGAAAATGAATAAAACAATTCATTTGCCCACAAATAATCAAAAATAGAAAAAAACAGTTCTATGGGAAAATCTTCGAGACGTGTTGCCATTGAATATGAATTCACAACAGAAAAAAAACAACTATGTCGATCTAGTGTTTTTCCTATTTATCATATAACTGACAATAACATCTAGTAGGATATCCAACAAGAACTGTAGAGTAAAAGAACAGAAGATGGCACTAGATTTTGTATGAAGGATATAGACTACAATAAAACTACCGTGCTCCTGAGAATAAAAAGCCATGACCTTCTATGATGGGAACTTACATTGCTCTTATAAAGGTTGCGTTCTATTGTGACGTAGTTTTCTGTTAATATTTACATAGACAGTCGAAAATTTAGAAAAGAACACATTTCGGATATCCGCAAAGGTGTTATTAGCAGCTCAGCACCAGGAAGTTGGGGTTTATACTAAAAAATGTAATGCAAATTACAAGTAAAACAAGTTTTTAAAGTGCTGCAAATATGTGAGTTTTCAATTTGTTCAATAGCTTTTTAGCAGAAGTTTCTCCTTTTTTTTCAGATGATCTACTTCTTCTGAGAAACGGATTAATTTTCAAAAATGAAAAAATTATTAATATTTTAATTTCTTGTAAACCTCGAAACTGTTTATTTAAGACTTAGTCTGAGAAAAAAAGTTTTGAAATTGAAGAAAATGTAAAAAATTAAAAGTTTGTTGCCTATCAGAAATTAATCTGTTTGTCAGAAAAAAACTTAATATTTTCCGCTAAAAGATCTTTGCAAAAAATTGAAAACGCGCATATCCTTGATCAGCTTGTCACGCTTTATCGGACCATCTATAGGAAAACAAAAAGAAAAATACTTCTGTTTTAGTTTGACACTTTCGGCACTTTACTTCTAGCCTTTTCAAGCTAAACTATATATAATGCACTACACTTCGAAAGGAAGGTTTCTTGAAAACTCATGGTGTTTTATTGCATCTTGTGTAATTTTGACTTGGGGATAGCTTTCTATTCTAAGCGTGTTTAATTAATCGAATATTTTTTCTTTTTAATTGATGAAACATGTTTGATTTTTATGAAAGTTGAAAAATATTTGTAGAATTTATGATGTTTCATCTAAATAGTTTTTAACTTAAAATTTTGTTGATTAAAGATGATAGACATGAATACATCTTACTTCAATATCAAGATAATCATATGAAATGCGAAAAATATGACTAATATTGATTCAAAGTAGTATTTCTGCATCTCTTAAAACGAAATCATTACTTATAGGTATACAGAATTACTGCTGTTTGCTTAGATTGAACAAGAAAAAATGAGGAACATCTATTTTAAATCAACTTATCATGTACTGTCGATTTAATAACATTATAAAGGTTAGAAATCTTTGATTTATAGCAATGTACATGTCGTAAAATTTTATATTTTGTGCCCATCGATTATTAAATAGCCCAAAATGACAATCTTTGGTTCAATTCATCAGAACAATTCTAATAAAATTAGCAATTTTATACTTCAATAGGAACAATTCGAAATTTGGATCATTTCAATAAAAATCTTATTTAAGAAAAAAACCCTACGTATGTTTTCTTTGTCAATATATTTTCTTAGTCATTGAATTGTTTATTTTTTATCTAGAGTCGAGCTATATTTGGAATACTTAGCTTTATGAAGAGAAGAAATTATACTTTATCATTAGTTAAATACAAAAGACAAATTTCAATGAAATCATAAAGTTATGATATATTATTGAGCAATTTTTAGCATTGTCTATACACAGTTTTATATCACCAACCAACTGTTCATTGATCGATTGCGTGCTACAACCAAACGCACTGACCGTTTGCTCATGATTCTGAACGATATTGAAATAATCACCTTGTTCGTAGTAACTGTTATGGACTCCATCGTCTTGAAAAACGACAACTGGTTTATTTAGCTGATAAGCAATTCACGCTAGCATCTAATGCTATAACATATTCCTCCATGTTTATACAATCTGTTCTAAAATGTGTATTTTACATGTACAAGACGACGTGGTCAATCAAGAATATAAATCTAGCAAAATTTATTTATTTTGCTTGTAATTCTTGTTGTTCATGAGTAACTTTCCAATGTATGATTGGAGCCTAGCAGACACCACACTGCTTTATATTGATAATATAATATGTAAATAAAGATCATCGTTGACACCTCGTATTAACTTTACAGCCTATATTGTTTAAGACTTTTCAATTGTTTAGTTGATTGATTCAATATGAATGATAGCTCATATTGTTTAAAAAAATTATGTATTCAATGGTCTCATAAGAATAAATTCCATCGATCAAAGTATATAAATTTATTAAGCAGCGTATTGCTGACTTTGTGTGTATTGGGAAGAGGATTATTGTTTTCTACCAACGAACTAAGAGACAACAATAGACAACATTGACCATGTCTATTGTGCTTATATTGACTGTGAAAAATACTTAAAAACTTAAGAAGATTATCATCGTTTTTTCTCAGCAAAGTGTGGCACAATTCGTTAAAAATAATCTTACCACAAAGAATGTCGCATTAGAATTTGTATTAGTATTAGTTAATACTAATGCTAATCTGACAACTCTTTTTGTCACAGTATGCAATACAATTATTTTCTAACATGAATTTATGTTTTCTTTTCTGGAAAACAATAAGCTATGGATTCAAAATGCTTGATTAAAAAAAAGTACATTTGTAACGTATGTTAACTTCTGATGTACGCTGCATTATCATTCAAATAAAATATTGGCTTGTAAATAGTAATTATAGGTGTCATATCGCATTAGTATGCATGAGAAGCAATGAAAAATCTCACGTTACTATCAACTTTTACTAAGTCTCTGGTTGCTGATTTCTGATTTTTGACAAAAATAATCTATAATAAATAACAAGAAAGCACACATTACAG